GGTGCGGGAGGCGGGAGACGGGGGGCGGGACCGGGCGCGACGGGAGGGGGACTCCCGGGGACCCGAGTTCGCGACGCGGCGGACCTGTCGCGTGTCCGCTGCGGGAGCCGGGGTCATTCGGAGAAGGTCCCTCCCTGGTCACTAGAGAGTTCTGGGGGGCGCGATCTCGTTCCTTCTCCCGGGTCCCGCGCGCAGCCCCCTAAACGCCTTTCCCCCTCCCCGCTGCGAGCTCTAACGACCGCTTCCCGCCTCCGCTCGGCCGCTCCCCGGCAATACTGGCAACGGACACCTTTGTTCAGAGGAAAAGAAATGCGAAGAGCGGGGTGCGGAGGTGGGGAGTTGTTCCAGCGACCTGGCTAACTTGGGGGCCTCATGCACACCACAGCCTGAGCAGTGCCCACCCCAGGCCCCTCTCTGGGACAAGTGTGGAGGGACAGAACCTCTGCGTGGGAAGCTCCCGCTGCGCCGGGCTGCGAAGAGGCTTTGATTAAATGCGTGGGCTTGGGCACGGTGAGGATGCAGCCTGAACCGCAGAGACAGGCTCCTACAGGGCTGCCTCTGGTCCCCAACCACAGCGTTCCTGTGGTGGGGGACAGGAGAGGGAACAGGGGACCTGAGGTCTGCAGAGATCCCAGGAAGCATGAATTCCACAGGGCTGGGGGCCAGGGTGCGACCTGTCACCCAAGGGCTGGCTAGTCTCCTAGAAGAGTGGTATCCCTGAGGACTCGAGTCTCTGCACCGGTGGCTGGTACATGGCAACTAGGGGTAGACAGGGTGCCCGCTTTGAGACTCCGGGGGGAGCCCCCAGCCCTCTGACCAGGGCCACAGCCTCAGTACTCCAAGCTGGCTGAGCTCCAGGGTGCTCTAAGAACACCCTTGGGTTCCTCCACCTTCCATTCCTAATCTGCTAGGCGCTGACCAAGTAGTCACACCGTTGCCCAGGAACCCATGGGCACCTTTTTTAGTTTTATTTTTTGGTCATGAACCTGGAACCTTCATACTGAGTTACACGTTCAGCCCTTGCTAACTCTAAGTTGTGAAGGCTGCGCTTGAACTTGTGGTCCTCCTACCTCAGCCTCAAAGAGGCCTGGGATCACAAGTGTGTGCCACCACGCCCAGCCGATGGGCGTGTTTAACCCTGGCCATTCCTCCCTCTACAAAGTACACAGCCTGGAGCTGCTTGCCAGGAGCGTCCCTTCACCAGTGTCCAGCAGAGCCGCTCTGAGTGGGCTGCAGTGTGACAGCCACGTGTTTGTTCCTGGTCCCAACATGAGGTATCTCACAGAAGAATGAGGCCGAGCATTTTCCTTCAATGGTCATAGCAGTCCCTGCCCGAGAGGCATGGGTGTCACCAAGGGGGAAGAGGCCACTGCAGCGGCGGCGCATAGTATTGCGGGCCCAGCTCTGAGTGTCCTCTGCCTAGCAGGACTTTGTGCTGTTGCCTGTGTTGGGGACACTGTCCTTGGCGTAGGGAACTCACATGTGAGGTCGGTGAGCAGGATTTTTTTTTTAAATACTTTTATTTATTTATTTTGTGTGTGTGTGTGTGTGTGTGTGTGTGTGTGTGTGTGGCCAGCTCAGCCCACCAGGGGGCGCGGCTGGCTGGCATGTGGTGCTGGGGGATTGAACCGCGGTCCCTGTGCTTTGCTAAACTTGTTCTTAGTAGGTGCTTTAGACCACTGAGCCATCTCACCAGCCCCCGGTGAGCAGGATTTGGGTAAAGGTCACCTTACCTGTGTTGGCCTAAACTGTCCCTGTGCCACTGAGCCTGGTCCCCAGCCCAAGTTCACGACTTTTCATTCACTTTCAGAAATCCTTCCCCAGGGCTGGTGAGATGGCTCAGTCGTCTAAAGCACCTACTTAGAACAACCTTAGCAAAGCACAGGGACCGCGGTTCAATCCCCAGCACCACATGCCAGCCAGCCCCACCCCCTGGTGGGCTGAGCTGGCCACACACACACACACAAATAAATAAAAAATTTAAAAAAACCCAACCATGTGGCTTTAAAAAAAAAGAAAGAAAGAAAGAAATCCTTCCCCACTTCGGAGTCCAAAAGATATTCCTGTACTGTCTCATTTTAAGAAGTTTTTGGTTTTGTTTTTTGAAACAGACTCTCATTCTGTAGTCCAGGCTGACCTTGAACTCACCGTGTAGCCCAAGCTGGCCTCAGACTCATAGAGATCCTCCTGCCTCTGCTTCCCCTCCCACGTGCTGAGATGACAGGCGTGCGTCTTTGTGCCTGGCTTCATGCCATTATTTGGATCTTCACTGTGGATTTGTACGTGTTTTTGTCCTCTGTCACTTGTTTCTATGCACCGCCATTCCCAGCTTTTTTTTTTTGTAACCCAGCTTTTTAAGAATTTTAGCAATAACAAACTAAGTTTGAGGCTGCCCTGAACTACATAGTGAAACCCCATCTTGAAAAGAAAAGAAAAACCCAAGTGTGGTGGCAGAAGCCTGTAATCCCTGCACTCCGGAGCCTGGGGCACGAGGATTCCTGGGAGTTCACCGCCATCTGGGCTACCCAGTGATTTCAGTGCCAACTCCCACTGCATGGTGAACCCCTGTCTCAAAAACTAGTATGTTTATGTCAAACATGGCAACATGTGCATAAAGTCTCGGGCACCCAGGAGGCTGAGGCAGGAGGGTCAGGAGTTCAAGTCCATTCTGGGCAATTTAAGAAGGACCTATCATATTTTGCTCTTTTGAGTATTTTAAACTTTTTGCTGTTGTTGTAAATGAGGCACTTTAATAAAAATACATTTTCTAAGGGCTGGTGAGATAGCTCAGCAGACTAAGTGCCTGCTTTATCAAGCACAGGGACCAGAGTTTGATCCCTGACATCACATGCCCCGCCGGCCCCGCCCCAGGGCATGCTGAGCTGGTGACAGAGTCTGAGCGTGGTGGCGCATACCTGTAATCCCAGCACTAGGGAGGCTGAAAACAGGAAGATCACTATTAGTCCAAGCTTCGCAGTGAGACCCTGTACAAAAAATAAAAAAAAAAAAATCCACAATGTTTGTGTCCCAAAGTTAATTAAGGGCAAGCCAGAGAGCTCAGCAGACTGAAGCAGCTGCTTAGACAGAGCCCAGCGGCCAGCGTTTGATCCCTGGCCTGCCATGCCGGCCCCGCCCCCGAGGTGCACTGAGCCGGCCATTGAGACTGGGCGTGGTGGCATGCGCCTGTAATCCCAGCGCTTGGGAGGCTGAGACAGGAGAATCACTACGGGTGCAATCTGTGTAGCGAGACCCTGTAGACCCTGTCCTAAGTACCAAAATAAATAAATCAATGTACATTTTCTAAATTTGTGAGTGGCATGGGGCTCAACATTATGTCTAGTCATCGTGTTGAACTTTCATTCTGCTCTTTTCTTCCCTTTTTTTTGCGGTACTGGGGATTGAACACAGGACCCTGTGCTTGCCAGGCAGGCGCGTATTCTACTGAGCTATATCTCCTTGCTCCCTCCCTTTTCTTTTCTTTTTAAGTTTCCCGGGACAGAGTTTTTCTAGGTGGCTCAGACTGGACTCGAAGTGGAAGGGTGGACCTCCTGCCTCCGCCTCCCAAGCGCTGGGATGACAGGTGCACACTGCTACACCTGGCTACTAGCATTTTCTTCAAATCAAAAGCATGCTGGTGCACACCTATGCCCTCAGCTGTCTGGAAGGCTGAGGCCAGAGGATCACAAAGGCAAGCCCCGCCTGGGTAGCTTAGTGGCTTGTTGAGACCAAGTCCCAAAATAAAACCAAGCAGGGCTGGGGGTGCAGTGCCACAAGGGTCCTGGCTCAGCTCCTGTAGAACAAAAAACAAGGTGCCTAGTGTTGCTCTGTGAAGAGAGTTTGTGTGCATTTTCTGTAGCCCAGAAGTTCCTTTACTGCCAGCTGGCTCTGACTTTGTGTTGCTAGTCGGTGTGACAGTGGAGCCAGTGTCATCCTGCCGTGAGAGGTGTGCAGCTCCCACAGTGCACTCTGGGTAGACTGAGCAAGACCCTGCTCAGCACTCACCTGTGCACTGGCGTGTGCTGGGGGAGCCAGGAGCTCCTCTGCAGCTCTTTATTGTCTCCCTGCAGTGCTGCGCATGTGATACAGCCAGGAGTGCCTTAGGGATATTTGAGGACAACTAGTGACACTGCAGCGACAACCCTTTCCCTCTTCTGCATTGTCAAAGCTCAGTGGCCTGAAGCCCCGCACAGCTCAGGCCTCTCAGGAATAACTCCTGGGAGACAGGAGGGCAGCAGGGGTCCTGTGTGGATGCCTGCATGCTACACGGGCGCACAGAAACTCTCATGCGACCGCTGAGCCACGTCCCCACACTTGGGAGGTCGAGGCAGGATTCTAAGTTCAAGCCAGCCCGGGAAACTCAGCAAATTAATATGACCCTGTCTCAAAACTAAAAGTTAAAAAAGGCTTGGGAACGGAACTCAGCGCAAAGACCATGAGTTCAAACCCCAGAACTTCAAGACC